TCCCGGTTCATCAGCCTTTTCAGCACGCTGCAGTCCATCTCCCGAAGCTCCTCCATCGTCACCATGGTCGCCGGGAACCGCGGGAGTTGGGCACGCGAGAAGGCGAAGGACGCCGGGGCCAGCTGGGCTGCAGGAAGGGGCCGGGCAGGAGCTATGGGAGGGCGCGGGTAAAAGTGGCCGCAAACTTGGCCCCCAGGGGCTCCCACGGGTGAACCTCTTCTCCCTGGTCCCCTTCCTACCGAAGCCTCGCGGTTACATAGCAGTCCGAGCGGCCTCGGGCACCAAGCAGCACAGTGCCGAGGGGGAGGTGGCGGTGGAGGGGAGTGTGTTTACAGGAGAGGACCGAGGGCTCCCTTCAGCTGTCGTCTCTATTGTACTTTGCCCGTTGTGCTGCTTCTGCCGGCACTGCCGTTCCGGCCGCCGTTCTCCACGAACAGCCGGAGCTCCGCACTCTGCCCCAGCCAGAGTTTCCTCTCCTAGGCTTATAGATTTATTAATGCTCCTCAGCTCTCCCCCGGGAGGGGGCAGATTCATTACTACCTCGCGAGGCCCCGCCTCTTTCCATTCTGGGCCTCGCGCCCTGCCCCGCCTCCCGCGCTCGCTCCCCGCCTCCTCTCCGCTCCTCCCGCCCCGTCGGCCCCTCCCCCTCTGCCTGCCCGGGCGCGTGAATGGAGTGCCGGCCGCTCGCGCCCAGTCACGAGGACGTGACGTCACAAAGAGCGGAGTAAACAGGGAGAGCGACGCTCGCCGCCAGGCCCATTCATAAAACCGAGACCTAGAGGAAGAGGGAGGAGGCCTCCGACCCGCCGGCGAGCTGCAGCGCCCGGACTTTGTGAATGGAGAGCCGCGGCGCCTCACCCAGGCCTCCGCCGCGCGCCTCCAGCCGGACCCAGTCGCGGTGTGGCCACCCCACTCTACTGCGGCTGTGGCGGCGAACGGCGGAAAGAAACCGCCATCCGAGAAGCCGTCCTAGAGGAGGCCTGGACTAGGTTTTGAGATTTCATCCCTCTTTATCTCCGTGCTTCCCGCCTACCAGCCTCTCAGGTGTCCCATTCGTACCCAAGTGGACAGGGGAACGCTGCACCGCAATCCAGCTGGCCCAGCCTGGCCCTCCTTGCCCCAGGCTCACGGAGTGCGTTCGGCCGGCCTGGCGTGTTTTTCAATTGCGATTCCTCAGACGTTAGCTTCTGCCTGAGCTTGATCGATTTTCATCTTAAACCATTAAATCAGCTTTACAGCTTCCCAAGGAACGTGGGCAAACCCCAACTCAAGATGAAAGAGAAAGCCCTCCCGCCCCGAAGCCCAGTAATAGGAGAGAGGTGTTGGGTTTGTTGCTTTACAACCCAGAGGGAGGCATTAATTGAATCCGGAATGTTGTTCCCAAGGAGGAAGGCGGGAGAGCCACTCCCTTCCACGCTTCCTAAAGATGTTTATTTAACCCCGATGGGAGAAAAAAACCCCGACGTTTCGGCTTTTGGAAAAGTCCTCACCCCATCTTGTACACGTGTAAATTGTTCTTCTCAGGAAATGACAATTAGGGTCCACATTTGGTGCGAAGCTAGACCCAGAGAAATTGAAGTGTAAAGGATTTAGTATGTTCCGGGGCCGATTCCGGTTTCCTCGCATCCTTCTTTACAGGTCATGTCGCATTTTTCCAGGCCCCGCTTTTCCTTGTGCATTTAATTTCCCAGAGGCCGTTTCTGGCAGGAGGTGTGTGCGCGCCGCGGTAGGGACACGACAGAAGCCAAAAATTATTCGCCCGACATCTTGCCAAGTCTTGTTGGTGATTATTAACCACCAAGCGGGGACTCGCTCCAGGCCTTGGTGGCAGCGGGGTCGAGTCTTCCACTCCAGGTCGACCGAAGCGACGCCATCGAACCCATGGGGTCCCTCCCTCCCCCGACTCGGCCTTCCGCTCCGCCTTTGTTCCCCGCGGAGCGGCTCTCCGGAGCTGTCACCTCCGCCCCCAGGGCCACCCCTCCACTCCCCATCTTGGCCTCGGAGGCGGCCTCCACATCCGAGGATCCCCTCCCACTGCACCCAGAATCGCCAACACCCAGCCCAAGCTGAGTGCGTTGTGAGGCTGGCCGCTTATCCCTGAGGATCCTCCTTTTACCTCGCGTTCCAAAATGGCTCTGCAATGTACTTATCCTGCTCTATTTAGAATTCACTATTTTGCTCATCGTGGATTTTTTTGGGCGCTAATTTTAATTGTTTAAAAAGCACTACATTAAGGTATTTATTTTGACCACTGACTTTTGGGCTCCCCCTTATATTTTTGCTCACTCTAGTCCCCGGCCTGGAACAAGCCACCACTACGGACCCACCGAAGCCGCCAGACACTGAGGAGGGGAGGTCAGCGGTCAGACTCACTGCTGGGAAGGGATCTGTACTCCCTCCAGGGGCAAAAGGAGCCTCTGTCCGGTTTCTCACGCACTGAAGCGGTCGTGAGGCTCTGGGTAAAGACTCGCTCTCCCTAGTACACCAGGAGCTCGACCTTTCCGAGAAGCCCCCAAGCCGCGACCGTTCCGGGCTTTCCCGGGCCGCCCTGGAATCCGGCCTTAGCCAGGGCCGCTTCCAGAAAAACGCCGATGCCTTTACAAGGGCTTGCACTCGGAAGAGCCTCTAAGTCGGAGGCAAGTCCGGGCCAATTGCGCACGTGTCGCAGGAGGTGGGAGACGTCCCTGGGCCGCACCGGCCGCGCTCTGCTAGCCTTTGTCTCCCTGGCACCGGGGGCTCCTCCCCGCCCAGCGCTCACGTGGCCGGTAAATAACAGTCAAATCCGGGGGGAGGAAGATGCCCACCAAAGACTTGCTTTCTGCACCTGACAGTAATCCGTGGTGGTGAAGCCCGTAAATCCCGCAGGCGATTCACACGGAAGGGGGCGTGGGCGGGCGCGTGTGAGTGCGTGTGTCCACGTGTGCGCGCCCGCACCCTGAAGGGGAGAGCGGCTTTCACTTGTATTTAAGCCAAGAGCCGCTTGCAGTACGAACGCCTGATTTTTGAAAGAGAAAAAACAAAACAGAACAGAACAAAACAAAACAGAACAAAACAAAACCTCTCCCTGCAACTCAGGAACTGGCTTTCAGCTCCATGAATTTCAGCCGAAGAGATTTAAATTTTGTATTTATCCGGGTCCTCTGTAAGCACCCTAGATATTTTAATTTTTGGTATTGTGAGTATGCAGGCCATTTGGTACGCAGTTAAATGAATACAATGTGAGGGCTACCGATATTGGCTATAGGGGTGATAAAACCTGTCCCCAAATAGAATGCAGGGTGGGGGTGGGAACCTTAATCAGTTTACACGCGAACCTCGTGAAACAGGTTGTCAATAAGCAGATCTTACAGAAAACAAAGGCATTTTGGAAAGAAGACATTGTCATTTCAAAGTTAATTTGACTATGGAAGCCATATCTGCAGGAGTTGGGATGGGATTGCCCAAGGCGATATATTTTATTTATATTCAGCAGGAAACCTCGGGGTAAAAATACTTTAAACATTCACTGTGACATGTAAATCCAACTTTGCTTTCATCAGACAGTCCTTAGACTGACCTTATTAGTCACTGTCAAGCTTGGCAAAACCCTTGTTCTTGTTTAAGAACATTTCTTTCCAATTAGGAAGTTGTGTGATCTGGGAATTTAAAGCCCAGGCTAGGATCCCCAGAGAGGACTGTGGCTTCTATTCTGGTTCTGATGCCAACCTCTGACTCACTGCCCTGTACCCAAGGGCCTGAATAAAACTTGCCTGAAAAATCATTAATGAATTAATTAAGGTGGCAATGTAAAGAAATATTCCGTGGGTTCCTCTTTCCTGAGGAGAGAGGGGGACTTGCTTATTACTCTCAGCTGGAACAGGAATGGGCCTTTTGGTATGGAGCTGTTGGCTAGGCTTCTTACATCAGCTGCTTGGGGAGATTCCCTGCTGGTGGTGGGAATGCTCAAAAGAACTGAGGCTCCTCAAGTTGAGAAGTCTGAATATACTGTTATGTTTTTAGGCAACTGCTATAGATGGAACTGAGGAAACTCTGTCTTTCCCTGCCCACCTTTGCCCATCAAATCAGGACTCAAAAGCAACGGAAAATCTTCAGTATTTAGACTGAACATCACCAAGCCACCTCAAAAACAGCGTGAAGCCTTCTTCAGTACTGACTTTGTCATAGATCTGTTCAGTAGCCTCCATTTATTTTTCTATCCATGATACTGTGGCACTTGCTAATGATTTAAAGTGCTAGGTTTCTAATCCAGGGTCTCTGCAGAAAGGTTTTTAATACATTGCTTCATTCAGCACTTTATTTTGAAAATGATTCAGCTTAGGCTGTAACAGCATCTAGCTTAGTGATCTTGGGCAAGGCACTCTCCCTGGGTCTCAGTTTCTTCATCTGCAAAATGGAGAGCTTGGGCAGGATGATTTGTCAGATCTAGTTCATTTCCAACCCTGTGTGATTCTGAGCAGGAGAGCTCTCTGCAGACCTGATACAGCCACCTCCTCCTCCTCCTCAAAGCCAGACACACTAAAATGCCACAATACGAAGAACTGTCCTGCCTTCTTTCTGTCCTTCTGCTCATGAAGAACAATGTTGGTAGTTTTAATTTATATGTTTAGTCAAGTGCTAACGTCCCAAGCATCTTGACAAAACTTCTTCAAGCTTTCAAAATAAAATTTTGGAAGCAAATACTCCCAACAGGAGATAAAAATGGGCTCAGACTTTTTGACACTCTATATTTTCTTATTCATTTATTCAACAAAATGTTAAACTCGGTGAGGGAAACAAACTTGTCTGAAACACTGATTGTGCCTTCAAAGGGTTTGTAATCTAGTTGGTCTAGACAAGGTGTGATTGTTACTGTGGGTCACTGTAGGGCAGAATCTAATCAATGTCTTAAGGGAAGAACAAAATGTCAGAGGGATTCAGAAAAGAAAGGGATTGAACTGTGTTGTGGGATCCAGAGGGAAATAGAAGAAAAAGGCCACCATGAATAAAATGCATTTCATCTACTTACACGTTATCCTTGATTTCTCTCGGTCCTTTTTTAAAAAAACTTTTACCCCACTTCTGACATTCATTCTGTCCTTTTGCCTTCTCCTTTCATTTGTTAACTTCACTCTTTCCCAGTGGGTCTGCCTGCTAAAAATAGATGAGCACTTGGTCTGAAGCTGCAAGGGAGCCAAGGTGATGCAAAAGCTCTGTCAAAAATCTATGCTGTGTTCAGTGAGCCGACCTAGATGGGAGATGACCTAGGTGTGGGCCTGACTCTAACTTGCGTTGTCATCTTCAGCAAGTCTGTTTTCTATATCTTAATTTCACCAACTGGAGCGGTAGTAAAAATAATGTAATTATTATTTACTTTTCTCAGTACAGCAAAATGTCTAAATCACCTTTCCAAGGATCCAGTGGTGAACTTCTTTTCCAAAGCCAATACTGATGTACATGGTCCGAAAAGATTTTTGGATTGCAAGATTATGTATATTTATAAATATATGTATAATTTTAAAATTCTTGCCAAGAAGTGAACATTAAATCACATTTATTTATGTATTTTCTAAAAATTTTTTTATCGAAAGCAATGAAATCATCCAAAATTAAGACTGTCACAGGAAATCTAGGACTTTGGGGCATTATTTCTTCATTGGTTAATCAGTAAAGGAAAGTAAGTTATAGAAGACCCCTGTTATGCCACCTGTTTGCCACCGTTGCTCCAGGTCATCGTTGTCCACTGGTGTCTCCATATTCATTCTGCAGAGGACCCTGGACACAGTCCTTCCTGCCTAATGATACAGGGAGTATGTGTCCTGCCTTCAAATGTTTTAGCTGCTCTTTGCTTCCACATCTTGGCTTCACTGAAGTCTTTTTGTGTAATGATTGCTTAATTCTCATCACAAAAAAATCTTTCCTCTACCTTCTTATGTTTGTACCTGGGGCCTGTAAATTAAATTGACAAAGCCAGGTTAATGGAAGAAAAAGCATGTAATTTAAATTGATGTTAATATTTTGTTTTAAGAGTGTACAGGGGCTTCACTTAAAAAAAAACAAAGAAGTGGCTAAACTTGGGGACTTACATGCTATGTTAACAAAGGGCAGTAAATTGTAGAGAAGCAATTAGACAAAGGAAGGAGAGTTTGGACTTCTAGAGCTGATAAATTATGGGAAGTGACTAGGAAATATATGGGGGAAGCTAATGTAGTTAAGGGTTATTTAGCAAGGCTTCCTTTGCAAGGATTCATCTTAGTGCCATTTCTGTCTCTGGTGATACAGGAGACAGGAGAAGGAGACACCTCACAGGGGAAATTTACACCCTGCTTTTAGACAGATGGGAAGAGGGGCAGAGAGCTCTTCTCACATCTGCTTTTTCTCAGTTGCCTTTGGCTCACAATAATCCTCATGCCAACGTGGCATACTTTGGGCTGGCTTAACTATCTCCAAGCTTGACCAGGTGCGGGGCAGGACAAACAGAAGTGTCAGAGTCTCAGCTTGAGCCCTGCTTGTCTGATGAGCAGATCCCATTCAGCCCATCAGTGGCTTTAGAAACTCTGTAGTCCTTTAGAGACTAAAGTTCTTACTTCTGAGTTTTCAGGCAGACAGAAGAGACCAAAACCCAACAATTCATACATGAAAAATACCCATATTTAATGAACTATTTTAGCAAAAGCAGAATACCTTTTACACTGCATGAGATTGATCCATCCACTTTGGTTGAAATAATGGTTTTGTGAAGTCAGGGCATGGAACATCCTCTCCTAGCTGGATGAGATACTCAAATTATCATCTCTGGAAAGGAACAAAAGGAGAAACAGGTGGTAGGGGGCAAAACGGCTCCTCTCCCCACCTAAAGCTCCTCAGTGGGCTGCCACTCTGAGATGACGCCTGGTGAGTGACAGCCCCACCTGCTTAGGTGCCCCCAGTCCCACACCTGTTGCCATCATCCTGCACCAGGAAGCTGCACCTCGGATTGTGTACATTTCCCTCAACGTGATTTAATCATCCACGCAATCCACTTTTCGTCTTTAAAAAAGTTATTTGGGCTATCCAGAATCAACATGCAACAGGAATACAGCTCAATGTGCTCCATTCTTTCCCAGATAAGGATTGTAGTCTCCACCTTTTCAGTTGGAATTAGCATAACAATCCACTGGGGTTTACTCACTGGAGGAAATACCTGGAGTCCTCTTTAAGCACTGCTTAATTACATCCTGTTATTTATCCCTTTTATTAGAGGTTAACTAATTAGCACCCAGCCAACTCCATTTTTAATCTAATGTATTTCTCTTTCTCTCCAGACTGCCCATGTCCTGTGTCCTCTATGTTAGAAAGCCTTGAACCAGGTGACAAGCTAAGAGTCTGTCTTCTCTTCTAGGTGACCAAGGCCCCCTTTTCAAGGCCCATCCAGCTGCCCCTGCCTTGGGTCTGAGCCGTATCCTCTTTAGCCCTGGGTTTCATTTGTTGCAGTGAAAAAGGACCCAGGCTTTGGAGCCAGACAAATGTGGGTTTCAATGTTAGCTTGGCCATTTAGCAGCTCAGGAACTTTGGGTAAGTTCTGGTTTTCTCTTTTCACATCTTTTCAATGGGATGGTTACTAACACGTAGACTAATTATTCAGAATGTTACTCAACAAATCTTACTCCATTTCTCTTAGAGAAATTTTTAAGAAGCTAGGAGATGTCTGTGAGGCAGCATTTCTAATTTATACATCATCCTCTCCACGGATGTGCCATTGGCAAAACTCCAAGTGTAACTGGAAAGCACAGGTGGGTTCTTGTGTCATCAAGTCAGGCTGCTCCGTGGGCCCAGCTGTTAACCCAAGTGTTTGCCCATCAGCCAATGTGACATAAAGGACTCCTGGATTCTTTCCACTGCTCCCACTATCCTGGACTGCTCCATCCCCTCTCCTCCCAGTTTCCTGTGTCTCAGTACCTCCCTCCATTTATACAAGCACAAATCTCACTGAACCCTTCTGTGACCACTTTAGCAAGAAAGGCAATCCTTCTCTCTAGTTTTCTCCAACCATTACTGCCTTTCACTTATCTATTTCTTACTGTTTTCTGCACAGTGCTTGTCTTTTCACCAGAGTTGTGTGAGAAATTTTCTTGACACAGCAGTAGCCTCTAGTTCCACTAATGGGCAACCTATCTGCCTTAGTCATTCTGGCTGCTATAACAGAAGTACCAAGGAGTGAGTGGCTTAAACATTTGTTTCCCACAGTTCTGGAGGCTGGGAAGTCCAATATCAAGGTTCCGGCAGATCTGATGTCTGGTGAGGACCTGTTTCCTGGTGCATATCTTCGTAATGTAACTCACAGGCCAGAAAGGGCGAGAGAACTCCCTGGGGTCCTTTTATAAGTGCACTAATTCCACTCATGAGGGCTCCCCCTTCATGACCTCACCCCCTCCTAAATACCCCACCAGGATCCTAATACCATTGCCTTGGGGGTTGGGACTTCAACATATGAATTTTGAGGGGACACAAACATTCAGTCTCTAGCATACTACTTGCTCCTATACTTAGGTTTCCTCATTTTGTGTAGCAGAATGGAGTCACCTTAGATATTGCAGCAGATTCACGTACAACCCCTGTCCATATTATCTGCCAAGCAACTCTATCAGCTCTGATCATGTACTTTGACAGAATTTCTACAATCCTCTGGCCAAGCTATGGCGAATAACTGGACCAGGGATACTGTAACTCACTGATTGCTATGATTGTGCTCAGAAAATAGCCGAGAACCCTCCGTCTCCCTGCCTGGCACCCACCAGCCTCTCTGCTCCATCTGTGTTCTTAACACATCTTTCCAACACCCTACTCCACACACAATCACTGTTGCTGGCTTCTCTGGCCACCATTTCCTGCTCCTCTGATGTGGTTTTTGATGTATGCTGCCAGGGTACCCAGGGCTACTTCTCTGGAGAGACCCACCCAGACCCTCAGCCTCTGGACTAGTCCACCCAACCAGCTGTCCCTGGGCCCCCTTGGCTCCACCAACAGTCCAGGAGCATCAGGCACTTTCCAAATCCTCCCCGGAACAGGCAGCTTTAATCCTCTCATGTTCTCTACAAGCACTTCTGACCAACGGAGCTGCTTCCGCTCAACTGCTCAACCAAGGCTCACAAACAGGGTCACTCTGAAATGCGCTTATGCGAGTCGTTGTTGGTTTAGAGCAGAATCCAGGCAGGAGGGTGTACAGGCACTTCCTGGCCCCAGGCATAAACACCACATATATTTTTTTCCCTTTCAGAAGGGATATTTTTCGTGCTCATAATGAAGTGTGGTCAGAACATATTCTCTTCTAGAATATTAGGTCAGCCAGAGGTTTTTCCTTCTGTTTTATACATGTGAATAAAAATGGGACTCAGCAAAGCATGCCGTTAAATATTTCACCCATGTGTCAGCAGATGCAATTCTAGAGCAGACACTTTTTTTTCTGGGGTGATGTTGTTGATTTAAAGGGAAAGGTGGGAGATTAGCAAACACCTGTGCCTTTAGCAGTAGCTTCAGTCTTTGGGTTGGGAAAAACACAGAAATATCTAAATGTTATTTAACATCTAAATAATTATCTAGAAATGGTAAGGATTTCCACTTGGAAGTTAACAAGTCTGAAGTATACAAAACTGCAGAATGCTGAAAATATTAGGTTCTTTTTTGTCTTATGAGGACTCCTGTTTCTGTCCCTTCTCTCCAGTTGACAAAGGAATCAAGAAAAATGCTGGAGATGGACTTGAACATTCCCTGTAGGGCAGCCCTGGCAAAGGCTTTTTCCATATTAAATTGCCCAAGACCTTGCACTGCAGAAGGTGTATATGCATGTGTACATATATACACTTACATATACACATATGTGTGTGTATTACATTTATTTTTCCTTCTTGAAACACCCATTTCCAATCTCCCTCTCTATACCAGGCCTCATTTTTGTAAAACCCATTGTTCCTTCCCCACCCCTTACAATTGAAAGGGGTTTTCTTCTGCCCACTTTGTGTGAAGGTTAACTCATTCACTCGTGACAGGATGCATGCAAATTCAACGCTCACAAAATTCAGAGACCGATTTTCTTCCACCCCTAGCCTGGGTTTCCTCACCTGTTGATGCATCTTCCATTCACTATCATTTTGGAAGGTCAGCCACCATCACCGGGTGATGATTGACAGGCTGGAACGCAGGTGGGGCAGGCAGCACCGAGGAGCACTGCAGAGCAGGAGATCAGCTGCTCACATTAGGCCATAAGATGAAGTGCCAGACATCCCCACGAGTCAGCACCTCAAGGTCAGCTCGTGTCTGTCTCTCTGACTCCTCCTGCACACCTTCAAGTCCTGTTTTGAGGGGAGGCAGAGGCAGTTGTTTCCAGGGTAATTACAATGACAAGATGGGTTGACAGACATAGGCCATACGCTGTTTAGTGGCCAAAGTATCCCATAAGCTAAGGGATTCTGTGGACACCTGCAATTCCCAACCTCCCTGCCTACTTCTTGGATGGCTAAGGCGCCACTGTGAAGAGAGGTCAGTGTAAAATACCCTGCACAGGATCTAGAACAAGGAACACTCAGTAAATGAGGACTCATCTCAGTCTGCCCGGGCTGCCTAACGAAGGACCACAGACTGAGTGGCTTAGAGAACAGGTATTTATTTCCTCACAGTTCTGGAGGCCAGAAGTTGAGATCAGGGTGTGGGCAGGGGTGGTTTCTTCTGAGTCCTCTCCTTGGTTGGTAGATGGCCTCACGTGAACTTTCCTCTGTGTATCTGTATCCTAATCTCTTCTTCTTATAAGGGCACCAGTCACATTGAATTAGGGCCCACCCTGATGTCCTCATTTTTCACTTAATTACCTCTTTCAAAACCTGGTCTCCAAATATATCACATTCTGAGGTACTGGGAGTTTGGAAATTAACATATGAATTTTGGTGATGCAACAGAACTGTTGTTAACTTTTCCCAGGAAGAGGCTTTCACCCCTCAAATTGTTCTTCGTGATCCTCTCCCCCAGGAGGTAGCTCTGCGTAGGCTCTGGCATCAGCCAAAGGTGGACTTGGACCCCAGCTGGATCCTTTCTAGCTGTGTGACCTTAGGTAGGTTACTTAATATCTCTGAGGTCAGTTTCCTCTGCTGGGAAACAGGGACAAAATATACACTCCTCAGGATAAGCCTGAGGATCCAATGAGATGATATCAAAGAGCCTGGCTTGATACCTGGCTCAGTACCCGGACCCCCTACCTTTTTTCCCTCTGGACTCATTCACTTCTCTGAGGTCCCCAAGAACATCCCATCCAGAGATCAGACAGATGCATTTGTTTCTGCTCAGATAAGCAGCTGCCTGCTGGGCCAATTGCTATGCTGACCCTGGGACATCCTGGAACCTCCAGGGAAGGATCTCAGTCCCCCGGGGCCCTCATCTCTTCCTGGTTCCACATGCACAGCTGAACCTGCTCATTCAGCTCCTGGCCTGGGTTGGGGGTGGGGACAGGCTAGGGAGCCTCACCTCCAAGGGCACCTGTCTTCAAACAAGCAGGGGGCAGGGTGTAGATGTCAGAGCGGCGGGAGACTGAAATTAGGAGGCTCCAGGTTTGGATTGCAGCCAAGGCGAAAGCCACTTGCACCAGTTGTAAGACTCCAGTGACTCTGGCAATTCCCCAGGCTGGGGAAGATGACCTGTCACTTGTCAGAAGGGTCAGAAGCAATTGCTCAGAGCAGTGGAGGAGAAGGAGGAGACAAGGAGAGGGCCAGATTTGCTGGGAGAGCTTGGCTCTCCTTGCTGGGGAAGGCACAGAGGACGGCCCTGAATTCAGAGAAGTTTCTCAATCAGAAGGAGCTTCGCAGGGCAGCTAGAATCAGTCCCTTACAAGTTGTGTCCCCACATCCATCTCTCCCACACTTGCCCGCTGGCTCCGCTGAGGTGGGGACTCTGGTGGGCAGCCCCCTCTGGCAGAGGAATGAGGGAGAAGGAAGAGGTCAGCCCTGTAAGGCAAGTCTGTTGTGCTTGGCAGAGGTGGTAGTGTCAGGGTTATTTGGGTGTTGTGTTCATAGCACCCCCTTTCTTCCCAAGACAACAGGAAGTAGACACAGGTTAGGGAAGCAATGGACACTCCGTAGCCCAAGTGTCTTTGCTGGGGGCGGGCGAGGAAGGAAACAGGAAGAGGGCTTTCCAGTCTCTCCCAGCTTATCTGTTAAAGACACAGATGTCTCCCAGCCCTCCTGTCCCTTAGCCCAGTCCAGCTCTGTGTCCGGAGCCCTTTCCCCACCAGCTGGCAGGCCCTGGGCTTGGCTGGGTGGCCCAGGCCTGGCCCTTCACCGTGATTTCCCGATCTCTGCTCCACATCTCTCCTGGGCCTGGGCTCTTGCTGCCTGACTCTTATTTCCCTTGGCTGGGTCTGGTGGTCAGGACTTTCCCACATGGGGCTAGATGCTGCCCGTTGAACTCTCACCTCCTGGATATGGGGCTGCTCTATCTGCTGGGATTGAAAGGCCCTGCACCCCAAGAGTAACCCCCTTCGCATGCCGCTAGCAGCTGGAGGTGTGCTGGAGCTAGCTAGCCACTGTCCTCTCACCACAAGACTTTGTGTTTCCTGCCCTTCCCTCCTTCTCCCCCTAGTGGCTGGCCTGCCACTGTGGAGTCAAGTGTGCCTCCTGGCTAAGCCCACAAGCCCTAGGGTCTGGGAGAGTGTCAGTGTGGGAGATGCACACGGCAGTGGGCTATAGACCAACTGCGGGCGCCCCCTGAGCCGTCTGTGACCTCTCCCACTCTCTTCTCCCATATTTCCTGGCAGCTTGCCCATCTGTCTCACTGTCTCTGAGCATAGACTTTTACCACCTCTCACCTGGATACTGCCCCGGCCTCCTAACTTGTCCCCCTGTCTTTCTTGCTTCTGTGAACCCTACACACTGCTGCTGGATTAATGTTCTGAAACACAGCTCTAATCATATTTCCTGATTACGAATGTTTCTGATTCTTGCCGGCCACATTCCAAGTGTCTGCAGCAGAACCTCTACCTCCTTTCTCAACGTCAACCCTTGGTCTGGAGTCACCCTTGGCTCCGTGTCTTCCTTGGATGTGCTCAGTATTTCTTTCTTGAGTACTCTGGCTCACACTGTTCACTCTGCCCCAGATCTCTTCTCCTGGGACTCTTGAGACAGTTTAAGAAAGATCTCACCTTGGAGCCTTGTGCATGCACAAGTTTGCTGCCGGTGTGCTCCCCAATCACCTCCCCCCAGAGACTTATGCAACCTCCCCGGATCTGGCTGAGAACTGCCCCACGCCTGAGTGATGCAAAACCAGAGTCATAACCTATCTCAAGAGAGACTTCAAACTTCACTTCTGAATCAATGGGAAATTTGGACAAAACTTCTTTTCTCCATCACTTTCAATTTCAGTTCAGGAAGACTCACTGAGCCTTCTTCAAAGATATGGTTCTCCTTGCCTGGCAAACAATAAATTCATGTCTATACATTCAGACTACCCTCGTGGTCTTGTTCCATGACAAGACCATAGTCAATGTTTTCTTGATTTTTCCAGCCAAAAGTAATCCTCTTGTTTCTCCAACTCCTTCAGCATCTCATGAAGCATGCCTTTATCTTCTTTTATGCATTCACTTAACAAATATCCAGGCATTGTTATGATACCAGACACGATTATTTACACTGGGTTATGGTAGTGAACAAAACAGACAAAGACAAAAATCCTAATCTCATGGCACTTACATCATCCACAGATAGAGACAGACAATAAACACACAAAAGTAACATATATCATATGTTAGATGTTGATAGGTCATGAAGAAAAATAAAGCAAGAACAAAGATACAGACCGTGGGAGGATGGTCAAAATTTTATATAAGAGTGTCTTATAAACTCGACCTAAGCTGTTTTGAGTATGCTCAATTCTTAGGGTTTTTTGGTAAATGGTGGCAGCCACTAAGAAATCTTAGGTGGGGGTTAGCCACCCGACCAAATGTCACTGTGGGGAAATAAAAGTACAACCCAAGCCAGATGCTGCTTATGACATCTACTAACCAAATAATTGTTAGCAAAGCAGGCCTGAAATTCTTCACAGGACTTGTTCTGGATTCCCATTGACGTTTCCATATTTCCAAGGTTTTGTGCCTTCTTGCTGGGATCATGCACCACAAATCCCTCCAAGCCAACATTTGGATACCAGACAGAGTAGGGATCAAATCCGGTGCACCCTTTTAGGTAAGAGTAGGGAGTCCCTAAATGATTGCAGCCAATTATTAGAGCCAGTCTCCAGTAATTCTACCTAAGGAAGCCAATACTTCACTTTCACTGTGCTTCTTAACATGTTGCTAGTTTCACCAACAAAGGTTTATCTTTTAAATTTAGTGCACTAATCAGCAAAGTGTTGGTTGTTGCTTAAGACGGGGTAATAGAAATTCTTTGAGTGGCAGCCTCGAAGCACGGACTCTTCTGGTAGAATACCAGCTGCGTAGTCCTGGACTGTGCTTTTTTTTTTTTAAATTAAAGTATAGCTGATTCACAATGTTCTATTTGTTTTAGGTAAACAACACAGTGATTTGATATTTTGACAGATTATACTCCATTTCAAGTTATTATAAAATATGGACTCTATTCCCTGTGCTGTACGTCACACCCTTGTATCTTATTTATTTTATATCTAGTAGTTTGTACCTTTTAATCCCCTTCGCCTATCTTGCCCCTCCCCAACAAACTGCGCTTTTTTGATGGCACATTAACTGACTGTCTCTAGAATTAAAATTTAAATGAGCTGGCACATACATAATACCTCACTGACTGTACTCAAGTATTTTAAAGTAAATTACAACTATTATAACAGGTGTTGAGGAAAGACCTCACTGGGAAAGGGATGGCTCAAAAGACTTGAAGGTGGTGGGCTTGACCCAGTCACATTGTGGGAAACATTCCTCGTTGAAGGAGTAGTAAGTACAATACCCCTGAGACAGGAGTGTGCCTGAGCTGTTTGAAGAACACCAAAGAGGCCAGTGTGGCTGAAGCTGACCATGGAGGGAGGGAGAGAGCAGTGGGCAGATGGTGCCAGGAAAGCAACAGCACCAGATCCTGTGCAGCCTTGCAAGCCATGTGAGTGAGATGTAAGCCACTGCAGAGTTTTGCACAGAAGAGTAACATGATCTGGCTTCGGTTTTTCATCAGATCAATCAGGTCACCTTGCTGAGAATAGACTGATGGGGACAAAGACAAAACCAAGGAGACTAGTTAAGCATCAGTGAAATAGTCCAGGTGAGACTGACCAGGACAGTGAGAAGTGGTCAGATTCTGCATGTACACTGCAAGTAGAGCAGCAGGATGTGGTGATGGATTGGCGGTGG